AAAAATATTAATGCTCTAAATCATTGATTATTGACTACATTATTTCCTAGATTTCCGAGATTTTATACAACAGATATCTCGTGCAACGAGATGTATAAACGAGTTCCGCGAACGGGTAACATTCGAAAGATAAACACGTAGTAGACACGTGCATTCGCGGAATATATCCCATATTGAAAGAAACGACAGGCGCATTCTACGTTTTGCCATAATGCACGGCTGCCTCATTCTCGTCGTCTATCCTCTCGACAGCGGATACCGTTACATTATCGTCGAGATAAAATTGCCTATAAATTTAATTGTCTCGGCTCGTGATTTTATTGTCCCATTGCGAACCTTAATTCCTAGAGTACCTATTGGACAAATTTTTATTTTATTTTAATTTTTATTCTCTGTTATAATTGTCATATTGGTGTAAGCAAGTTTCAGGATCGATTAAAGCTTTCGCTGGCAGTTTATTCGCTAAAAAAACCGCGTTTTCATCCTAGAGTTTCTCTATCTTTGAGAAGTTAAACTGACTTTCAATGTGCTAAATTTTTCGATAAACAATATTGATTTATCGAATACTTTTGCCATTTTCAATAATAAAATTATCGAGTGGATGTTTTCAATGTCAATTTGACAGTTCGAGCGTTCATAGTTTAGCTTTATTCAAAGTAAATTTCAAGTCGAACACTTTATTATTATTTTATTTCTTTATCTCTTTCTATTTACATTCGTAGACGTGTAAAATCAAGTAAAAAAGAAATGTGAACATATAAAAAATAAAAAACAAAGTATGTAATTTATTATATTTTTTTATTGTTAAGACATATACACTCTCTATATATAAACTCCCAATACTCACTTTCATTTACTCACTCATCATTTTCACGAGATGCATGTTTGCTGGATTTATATGCTAGTCATCTTCTTCTTCAAACATTGCGACTGTTGCACAGTCAAGCACTCATTGCACTTTATATGATTATATTGAATTGTATCCATAATATTATTCTTCTCATGATACATCTGAGCAAAAACTCGATCATGTAATACGTTCACTTAAAAGCTCCTGATTCAGCGACATACAATTAAGAATGGATCACCGTATCCCAACATTGTTGTCGAGAACATCCTCGGAGAAAAGCCCGCCTGCAAAATTGAAGGGATCCGCTTGGCCTTTTTCGTGATCGCGCGCGACTTTCGATTTCAACTGCGCGCGTGAACGTATCGGAGAGGAACGGATGCGAGAAAAAGGGAAGAGAAAAATAAGAACGGGGTAGACCCGGAAGGGCCATCTCATCTTCCGCGAATTTGCCGGGCCACTGACTTCTTCGTCCATTGCATAACGTTCCTCCTATCGAGAGACGACACCGCCCGTCGAGCTGGATGAGAGCCACTGGATCGTGGTGTACCGGTTGTTCCACTCGTGGAATGCGGCTCGTCGCGCTGTGTGCGTGTTCGCGTCGCTGTGTGCGTGTCGCGCACACATACGCAGTGCTGTAAATGACACCAGTGGCGCCCGCGCTTGGATTACCCGTTCGCATTTCCTTTAATCCATTGGCCATGTCCAATGTCTTATTTTTGGAACAATAATTTTGTTACGAGAAAATAAAGCGATTTTTTTTAAATAATAATATTGCTAGCTACTAGCTTTATTTTCAAATAACGTATATGTTGCAATTGTAGGGATGCAAATCTGAGTCCGTGTGCCATCAACGTTACTGCATATATACTCACATAGACACACGTACGTGTAGACGAGCGAAAGGGATGGCTATGCACGCACGTGTGCATCTTTAACGTGTGCCGCGGACACAAATATTGTTATTATTGTTTACGAGTGAAGGTGCATTTCTGCGCGCACGTCGCTCTGCGACGCCCGATGTATTTATGTTAAGAAAGCATTGTTTGTATTTCATTGCCTATGCGCGCCCTTGCGTAATTGCAATACCGCAGCCACCGCTGTACCAACCAGTGCGACGATCCTTAATCCTAAATAACAGAGCATACTTTGATATAAACGAGAATGTCGAAGCGAATTTCCCGATGAAGGACAAGAATATTTCAGGAAAATTTACCAAATGGGAAGATAGATAAAAAAATTTAATTAAAAATTCAATCAGATGTGTATGAAAAAAAGAGATATTTTTTGAATATTAGAACCATATACATATTTGAATAATAGTTTTAGCAATATCATAATTTCGAATATCGCTTTATTTATCCAGAAATAAAGTAGAATTTAACAAAATTTCTATTATATATATACGTATATATTTCAAATGTAAATAAGACTTTTAAAAACCTAAAGTATTATCAGTAAAAATTAAGTGTGATTTTCTGATTTTTTTTTTAGATACAGAATAGGATAGAATAGAATCTATTAATAGCAAACATTGTTGTAGAAATATGCAATATGGATGCAAAGTATGTTGAAAATAAAAAATTTAATTACCCATTAGAAAGATTAAAAAATATAATAAAGCGATCTTGAATCGTAAAGAAAAATTTTCCATATAATAGTACGATTCCAATATTTCTGCATGCATTATTAATAAAGCCGATTGCGATGCTTCGATTATACCGCTCGTAATGCTTACGTGAATTTTCCGGTGCGCATTAATCAACGGTGATGTCGCAATTCTGGCTAGATTTTTTTTTTACCCGACTATACCGCAAGCGTATTCCCTTGATAAACACATTAACTCTGTGCCGGTAATCGAGGATGGAAATTAAATCTTATGTTCCAGTTATAAATTAACCGGATAACGTGTCCTCGGGCGCTAAATAAAGGACGTAATTATTCATCCGATCACAGGCTTGGGTAAAAGGTATCGACTGGCGCTATAATCAATGAATCGTGCATGGAATATTTGCGAACGCGTTTTGCAGGTTCTAGTTAACTTCGCTTGAATTGTCACATTTAGCAACATGTTATTTGTCAGCAATACGAATATTATGTGTCAGAATTATTGATTATAATATACAATCGATTTTTTCTTTGATGCGAAAATTTTTACCTTCTAGATGCAACGTAAATATTAGGAATTTTACAATTTTTAATCTGCAGATTTTTATACTATCTAAATTAAAGAAAAGATAATATCTTACATAATTTTATTCTAAGTATTTTTTGCGATATGTAATATGCATTGCTTTCTTTTAATTTGCATGTTCAATTTAATACGAAAAATCTAATTTCTTATTTTCATTTTGTCACATTTTTGGCCAGAATAATTTACGAGGTGTCATTAAAATTATCAGATTTTAATCATGCTTTAAGATCAATATTCTCTGCGATAATTTTTACACGAACCAGTAAGCGTACGATGACGGTGTTACTTATACGTAGCTGCTTACAAACAATCGGAGGAAGTCGTATCTCATAAATATTACAGCGGCAAATCCCGACAGTCAGTTGCGGCCACTGTATGCAAATTCAATCTCTGCATCGTTCTGTTGCTCAGCTTTTTGCTGCCGAGTTTCATTCGAGCACCCGATATAAGCAATTCTTACATAGACCAAGATCTCTTCAACAGATTCTGCAATATAAATAAAATGCTACTTTTTTCAAATTTCTTTTTTTATTGGATGTTAATTCACTGAATCAGCAATTGAAATGTATGCGAAATCACATAGAATAATTAACGTGAACTGAACTCTTGATAAACAATAAGCTTCACCAGGTGTACGAGCAAAGAAGCGACATAAAACGAAGGATTTAAAGTGATTTCAACGATTCGCCATAAGGACAAGCTTAAGATATAGTTGAATAAAAGAGATAAGTATTCGAATGCAGCTTGCGACTTTTGACACGCGAGTATTTTGGCAAATTTACGATTTCCTTAACACTCAAAATTCACAAAGCAGACGAAATTTAATTAGCATATTTACACGCGCAAGAGGATGTTTGAATTATATATAAACGCTTTGGTTTTTAAATAAACTTTTTGCCATGAATTTTTTATGCACCCTTTTGTTTCAAGATATTTTCTATTAAAAAATAATATTGACATTTATTTAAAATATTAAAAAATAGATTTTCCATTGAAATATATTATACATAAAAATATATTGACTACAAGATAACAATATACATGTAGAGAGAAATATATTGTCTTTGTTTTTAAAATTATGTATATTCCTTATTATCAAATTATTACTCTAACAATAAAAAAAAAAAATTGAATTTATAAGGTATTTATATAGGATGATCGCACAATTGAATAATCGATAATATAACTGATATAAGATCAGTCAAAATGCGCGTATACAAGATACATTAGTTGGAAATAAACATTAACATTAGTTGTAAATTAAATTGTTATAATGTTTCAACTGACCTTTTCTTTCGAAAAGTTATCAAGGAAAGTTATCTGAATAAAAAATTTTTAATTAACATATTGCATTTTGCACCTGTCGAAATTTAAGGCAGCTGCATCGTGTTTGGGAGAGATACAATATTCTATTATAAGTCTGTAATCTTTACGAGATCTTCGAAATAGTTGATTTTTCAAGTCAAACAAAACTTTTATAACTAAAATAATATATAAATGTCAAGATAAAAAAGGCACGCTTGGTTCTGAAGCAAATAATCAGTGATAAATGTATTTTCGATACGCGCGTGTATGTCGAGCTATAAAAATATCGAAGAGATGGATTCATTGCCGACATTTATCTCTTGTGACCACTGGGTGACGACCAGATTTGAGATAAACGATATACGATCTCGCTTATCGCTCCCACACGGTTCTCGTAATTGCGACATTTGTCAACTACTGATTGTGAGTTATATTATAATACCAAGTTCTATATATCATACATTACAATCTTTTACGTTATACAAAATATACACATATACATCTGTAACAGAAAAAAAATATCGTTTTATATACAATGACATGTTAAATCACTCGCTCTACTCAATGATCTGTTTTACATTATGAAAATCTATATACACATGTGCAATTTTCCTAAATGTTTCTAATCATCTCGATGTGTCCACACTGTTGCAGCAGCATCCTGCGGAACACGTGGTAGCGCGGTGGACGCGCGGCCAAAGAGGCGGATGTGCCCGTTGACGATGGCGGCGGGAACGTGCCAATTTGCCTGAGGAGACAGACATCCGCAGAAATCCGTAAGGTAAGTGCTCTCTGATTTTCCCTATACATACATATTTTGAACCATCACTGGCGCGAGGTCGGATTCGCGTCATTATTAAGATTTCAAGAGATACGAGAAATAAATTAAGCGGATAAGAGAGCGGACGGAAACCGGTGAAACGGGCTCCGAGATAAATCGCGTGGCGGAAGACGAAGACCTACGAAAGATAAGGAAGAAGGAGAAGGAAAGGGGAGGGCGGGGGGAAGCAGATCGCGTTTTTCAGGATCGCTCGGCGAGTCAGACTCGCCTTTATCCTCTATCCCGATAGTTTCCAATAGCGAATGAAGATAAGCGCAGTAGTGCCTTCGTGAAGACACCGACCTCGACCAAAAAGAGAGAAAGAGACAAAGAGAGAGGTGCATACTCAGCTTCCGCGATTAAGATGTGCGACGAGACACTCATGAATTTCATCCCGATACATATCTAATTCGGTATTGTCGCCGTCGATAATCTGCTCGCTCTTTTTTCGCGAGGAGCGCGTTAGCTGCGTCGAATGGAGACATTAACCCTTAGGCGTGGAAAAAGATATACGGAGATGTATTAACGACACCATAATTATCTTTTTTTTTCTCCCAAATATATTTATAGATTTAACAATTAATTTTCTAATGAGGAAGAGCATGTAAAAGGCACATTCTCATCTAGTTTTAGTATATATATATATTTTTTTTTTGTATTTATTTCTTCTTAAAAAGAAATAATCAGAAAAAGAATTGCTCTGATTAAAGTAATTCGATAGCGATTATTTAACAGTTAACGATTTTTTCATGGTTACATATCTCAGATAATAATAGCTAATCATTATTTACACAGATCTTAAGTACTAACATTCAGTTCTTACGTCACATTGAATGAGTAGGAATTTCGATAATGTGAACGTTTTACCGCTTGATCGAGTTACTTGGTTTTAAATCCGCACGAGTGCATTCGATGAAAACATCGTGATATAAGAACGTCATATTTAATTTCACAACAGCCATATACCCTTTCGCCGAAATTTAAGTGTGTAAGCAACTTTTACGATAGAAATCTGGCATTATATTGCAACACTTAATACGTCTATTTTTATCACGACGACGATTAGCGAGCACAAAGTCTGATAGACTGAGTCAAAGCCATAAAAATAAAAAAAATAAAATAAAAAAAATGGTTATCTTCCGCGGTTTGAATATATCGCGGAGCTGCCGGATCTATCGGTATTATACTGCTTTGTCGTTGTGAATATACATATAAATAATAATTGATCATTGTATCTCGACATTCGCATGCGGCATGAGAAATTACGTTGACGCAGTCCTTTGTTGGATTCGCGCAAAAAACGGGTAAAGCTGATAATTCATATTAAATTAAGCGAGAGAATGTTTTTCTTAGATATATATGCGTCGAGAAGATAAATTGCATTAAATCGAGTAATTATTAATATTCCTGTTCTCGAAAGCAGATGATATCAATTAAAGTAAGACGTATAGTTTATTATATATTTTATTTTTTGCACACATTTATATAAAGTTGAATTGTATCGATTCGGATAATACTTATCGGCGTGATAATATAATGTAATTAATTATATCTTTTTTTATTCGAAACTGATTCGTAATTTTGAATTTGATTTGAACGAAATAACATTTTTTAAAAATATTTTCATATATAAGCAGTTAATAATTACCCTTTATTTTAATTAAATATATTGATTAAATATATACATATATATATATGTGTATGTATGTATATATATGTATACAATTATATTAAATTATATTAAATTATTGCTATACAATTATATTAAATATATATTAAATTATTGCTATTAAATTAATATCAACACGAATATAATTAAACTGAATATGAAACGTCGTCTTATTTAAATGCGTCTGAGATCTATTTAATCTTAGTGCGATATAAAAATTTTAAAAGAACTTTCTGGGTGCACCTCCGTGGCCCTTTGACCATCGACCATTGAGGGTAACCTTCCACGGTATGCAAGGGCCTCGTTTATCGCGAGGCCGTAACTTATGCGTCACCCGTTATCTGGGCGCGCTTATTATGCATGTTATCGTCTCCCCCTTCGACGAGGGGAGAGCCATAAATTTAATAGTCCCCAGTGTGTAGAAGAGACCTCCTTCGGTATGAAAATCCGGATCGACCCTCCGGGACTCGATTCCTGGTTCATTCGCTTTTCTCTCTCTTGAATTTCATAATAATTTCCAAACTCATACATATGACATAAATATCTGTCAAGATTTATGCATAATGTACATATTTTGCAGAAAAGAAGGATAATTCGAGTATATGCATTTAATTAGCCACTGAATGAATTTTATCAATTTCATTCACAATGCGTTTCATTTTCTCAGACAATATTTTCGAGATATACACTTTATCTAATCTAGATACATTAACTTAATTTAACGTTTATTTATCATGTTTCATTATTTATATCGGGGGGCAGTTGCAGCCTCCGCCAGAGACAGCGGAAAATTTCGCGTCGATCGCGACTCGTATCGTGAAATGAAAAACAGATAAATTGTTGCGAGCAGCAGCGGGCGTTATGTTTACGCGGAACACGAAGAAGCAAAATAAGAAATCGACCGAGAAATCAAATCTTCCGTCGCGATAACGACGACGCCAGGCAACGAGGCCGACGTCATCTGTCAGATCGTCTTATCGTTGACGGAATTCTCGACTATTGCGAGTGCGATAGCGGCCGATTTTTCACCGCCTGGCGCACTTCCGGCTCGATAATTGCGATTTCTCAACCTTTTTAAGGTTTTTTTTAATTATGCATTTCGCTCTACTTCGCAATCAAATAAATCTCTAGATATATATAAATACTTTAATGAAAGATGTATACATTAGTATCACATGTATAGTGATTTAATCTGTTTCTTCAGATTTAAAATGTCCTGTCAGTCAGACTTTTTGATGAATATGAAATTATGAAAATTTCTCTTTATTACAAATGACACTATAACAAATTTTTTAGCTGTAGATAACAAAAAACTTACACACAGAAAAATATTATTCTATTGTTAAGTAAAATGATTACTCATTGTCAGTTTACTTTACTTCTTTTAAGTAACAGTTATCTTTAACAAATTATTTTAATTTTTTATTAAAATATTTAAAAATTAGTTATATAGAAATATTAAAATTGAATATTAGAAAATTTCTAAAAAGTTTGAAAGAATTTGAGCATTTGTAAATGAGAGACATTACTATATTACCTGGAACATTCTGTATAATAAGATAAAACACTAGAGTGTGTAACGAAATTGTCTTTTTGCGAGTCACGAATTGTACGTCATAAATCGATGCTGATTGGCCAATAAAACCGTGGCAACCGCACCGATTGGCCGGCGTCGCCCACGTGCATCGATAATGAATACGTGCGTTTTTCTAATTACCTGCGCTTAGATCGAACTCGCTTAATATATCTTCCTCATTTTTTTTCACTGTCTGCGTGACATAAATAATTTTCCACATGAATTAGACTTAAAACATATAAATGATACAATTTTGCAATCAGTAATTTTACTTACATATTACTCATATTGAAATGCTTTTTTCGATTTTATGAGTAAAAAAAGAAAAATACATAAACCATATAATAAGCGCTAAGCAAAATGAAAAACTTACGAAATATTTTAACTGGTAACATACATATGAAGAATCGATATATTAATTTTCTATTCATACTTTCGATCGTTTGAGCAAATCAATTGCGATGGTCCTGCATAGAAATCTTTCTTCCTCCATTATAAAAAGGAATGCAAGTGGTCAATAAACGTAAGAAAGACAGGGGTCCATTGATGCTGAGACATGCGCCCACCGACGAAAAAGAGAATTTGCCGGATCGACGCCAGGTCGAACGGATAAAGGCATTTATTGTCAATTGTTCTTTCAGTAGACTGAGAGATAATAAAAACACAACGAGCGATTTCCGCTAATCGGACACTGGCGAACGACGCCAGGTTTCTCGCAACTTTGAGCACGAGTGAGTTTCTGAATCATTTGATCAATTTTAAACACGATAAACGTTAAATTTCGAATTTTAAACATGCATGAAATGCGATTATACGATACTAGTAATTTGTAATTGTCAATATATATTATGCCTTACATAAATTAATAAAACAGGGAAACAATCTGTAATATTTTACAATTAAGAAGAAATAATTAAGATGAAAAAAATAAACATTAATATATATGTACCATTCACGAAAATATATTTATAATTGTTAATACTTTCTACATCTTTCAATTTTCTACATTTGATCGAAACGAGATTATGAAAATGGCTTCTCATTCTCTGCATTGTATGTAAAGAGAGAGAGAGAGAAAAATGTTATTAACTTTTTTCTAATTTTACACACATATACACACACATTTTATACGCACAATGACATTTAATAGATATCTTTGACAATTTTTGCATAAGACCGTCGTATCCGATCTTCGCTCACGCGCGCTTAGTGATTAATTAACCGGCTTAATTAGACGCCTAATTACCACCAGATACGGATCTCTATCGGGATAATCAAGCTCGAGGACCGCGACCGAGATGACATATATACGTATTATATAGCGAGGTATAGCGATGCCCGATATAAGGGAATCTCTCGGTTACATCCGCAGTTACATCCTTGTATTTCAAGACACAGGAGAGGACGCCATTTTAACGCGCATTAGACTTCCCGCAAACATCCTCGTGTGCAATCATCATTCACCCTAATAAACAAAATTTTCGCGTGATCAACACTGACTTTGCCTGATCGCGAAGAACACGTACGTTTAAACTGAAGCAATTTTTAAATTCTTTTTAGCATGATCTTTTTTCAGTGTAAGATTTATTAAGACATGTAGGACGATATGCCAGAACTCTCGATCTTAATTTTAATGATAGATTAATCTCGTAAGTTTTGACAATAGTAGCCGTAATCGTTAAATGATTGGGAATTTATAAGCCCCTTGTTCATTTA